CCTGTACTGAAATGAATGTTTGGATTGGACTTTTCAGGTTGTATCTGAGGAATCATTGTCAAACTGTTTCACCACTAAGATCAGGCGCGCGCGCGCGCGTGTTTGTGTGTGTGTGTGTGTGTGTGTGTGTGTGTCTTGTCCTGGGTCGGTCTAAGAAGTTATCACAGAGTGATTTGGCTCTAGTTCTAGGAACATGTTTTCTCCCGTTTGCCAACGCTATTTAGCACCGGTTAAGGGATCCCCAACCCGCTGCCTTGGGTGTCCCGGCCGTGTTGTTGAGAATGTGGTGTCCTGCAGGCCGGCGACGCCGAGGAGCCAGCAGATGGTCGCTTCAGTGCTCAGTTGCTGGGAATCGATCTTTCTCCTCCCCTTCTCCGTCCTCCTTCGTCTCCATTAACTCAGAGGAGCACTCGGTGTCCCTTCAAGCCTCTTGCACGCGGCGTGTTTGTGCACATGGGTGGGCGTGTCGCTGGCAGCCGACTGCCTGTCCCCACGCGTGTTCTGGCTTCCTGGGAAGCCGCCGCTCGGCTCGGCGTGCCGTGGCCGGGCGGGAGGCGAGGGCTCGTGCCCAGGCGGTGCCCTGCCTGCTCGTGCTCTTCACACGAAGCACCCCTTGGCATGGATTTGGCATTGCCACCCGTGTCGGACCTAAAACATGTCCAGAAAGAGAGCCGAGGGCAGGTTTGATCAGCGCCGACCTCCCCAGCCTGGTTCTGTTCCAGCCGCGCGGTCTCTGAAAGTGGCTCCGGGCGCTGGTCTCGCAGCTCCCTCTAGTGTCGCTGCGGCTCCGGCTCTCCTGGGTTTTTCTTCCCAGTCAGAAAATGACGGGACAGAATCTGCCCAAAGCAGCAGCATTTCGGGTGGGCTTTCCCGTGCATACTCAAAACAGGTCTGAGATGATTTTCCTGCCATGAGAGCAGGGACTCTTACACAGAGATGTCAACAGTCCAGCTCCAGTTTTGCTCTGTTTCGAAATTTGAGGGGACCTGGACGTCCTGTGGAAACCTTTCTTTCTGAGGAATGAAATCTTTCTTTTGCGATCCCTCCAGTTCAAGCCGGCTACTCCCTTTAAGAAAGAAATGTGTGTTCCTCGCAGGAAACCTACGGGACAGCGGGAGGCCAAGAAGGGGTTACTTGGTCCCTGACAGAGGGAAGAGCCGGGTAAGGGAGGAAGGAGACGCAGCCGCCAGCAGGACCTGTTCATTGCCTGGAAAGAGGGACTTGTTTTCTAAGACAGTTTTTGGACTAGAAATTTATCCTCTGAAGTCAGATCCTTTTGAGTTTTTTAAAAAAATGGAAGGAGTCAAGTTATTAATATCTGAAAAATGGTTACCGTATAGCATGCGGAATAATATAATACTCCTACCTAAATGCATAGCATCACAGCCTCCATAATAGAGATTTATGAGCTGCTCGTCATCGGAGAAATCCTATTGTGGAAATCTCCATAGGTCCGTGTTCCGGTTGTAAGTGTTTTCATAGTTATGAACCAATTAAAAGCCCTATTATTCCGCCCCCCCCCACCCTTTCACATTCCGGTCTTCCCCCTTGCGCCTTTTCCCTCACGACCAGAGTGACCCATTATTCTTCAGCCTGTCTCCATATTACAACAGGAAGCGATAAGGCGTGCCGCCGCTCGGCCTGGCTATCTGGCAAACCATTTTCCTTCGGAGCATCCAAAATGGCTGAACGATTTATCATTTCTTCTTAGTAAATCACTCTAAACGTTTATCTCAAGTTGATCTGTGAAGCTGAACATAAATTCTTGTTGTAGGTTCCGTGCTCTTATCTACTCACAAAGCTCTGGGGAGCCTTAGAAAGCTGTGTGTATGGAGCCAACTAGAATGTCACAGTTAGAATAGTGGTCACAGTTAGCTTCTCTGCTGCTGCTGTCAAACCCCGAAGTGGCAAGCTTTTTCCCACTGCAACTTGGTAGACTGCAGATTGGCCAAATAATTCTGTCTCTTGAGCCTTAGGCTGGCCTCTCTTGGATCAGACTTACTGCCATTCCTGGCTTACTTGGCAGGGTTGACCCTCGCCTGGAGGTTGAACCTCAGCAGTCCCTCTCTAGCTGCCCGACACCAAACCGGTGGTGAAAAGCCCTCACTGCTGTGGCCGGTGCTCCCTGGACTCCAAAGAAAACTTCGTTTTTCTGACTTGTCCTCTTTGTTTGAAAAATATATAAGGAATCCGTAATAGTGTATCACTTCGAATGTTATGGTTATCAGTGTTACGTTGTACGTCTTTGCAGTTGACAGATGTACTATGCACACTTGTCTCATTCACTCCTCACAACTGCTCTGTGAAGTCAGTTTCATTCTTTACACAGTCTCTTTTAAAGGACAGTGAAATTAAGTAAAATGCCCAAGGCTGTGCAGCTAGCCACAGAGCTAAATCCCAGATCCCCTGGGTCCTTGGTGGGCATCCTCTATACCCTGACAGCTGGAGTTCAGCTGAACGCTCTCATTCACCCACACTCGGCAGTATTTGATTGACTTTTCAAAAACTGAGGTGTTGGTACCTTTGAACTTCCAGTCCATACAGGCCGTGTGATAGTGAGCAAACTATTAAAACTGAAAATGGGGTTAATGGTGCCATGTCCTGATCCAGCTCCTACACAGCTAAATGATGACTGCTAGATAGAGGGTTTTTAAGTACCTGGTGACACATAAATGTGAAATATTGCCAGCAGTACAGGACAGAAAAAATTCATGTTGTGATTGATGAGCATATAGGATTCTATATGTGTTGACTTTGAGAGTTTTCCAAAGGTGATATTTTCTGAAAGATGTGTATTTGAACTTGAACTCAGTCGAGGAATAGCTCTGTTTCAAAACCAGAAATTTGCTTAAAGAAGAAATACTTAGCTTGCCCTCAAACTGATGAGATGGATGGTAGAAGAATTGAAAAAAAACTTATTTTCAGATATCTCTCTGGGTAGGTAGATAAACAGATAAGTGAGAGAGAGGCGGGGTAGTTCCTGTGGCATTATCACTAGTACCAATCATGACGACAATAATACAATAAATGAAAGAGGTATGCTCTGCTCTCCTGAGACTCCGTTGCCTTTGATCACTCCTTTTTTTTTTTTTTTAATTTATACAAGAACCGGGGTACAGTCCAGATGTGCGGGAGGGTGAGAGGATTCACCAAAGACAGAGCAGGGAACAGAACAGGCAGATCTACTGAAACACACTGCTGAGGGGAGCAGCGGGCGCGGCAGAAGAGGTCTGCCGCGCCATGTGGGACCCTCGCTGGCTGGCCGGTATCAAACCGGCGCTGCAGAGGCTGCGGACAGCTTCACAGCGCTGTGCTCAACAGCCTGCGCCACCAGGGGAGGCCCGGATCACTCTTCTCTTTTTTTTAAATATCTATTTGAATGAAAATCAGAATATGCTGCTTCTCAGAACTGGAGACCCTTCAGCACCCTCCTAAGAAAATGTCCATTTTTTTATTTTAATTTTTCCCCCAAAGATCTATCTATTTATGCATATAAGAACTGGAGCACAGGCCAGAGGTATGGAGGGTGAGAGGAGTCACCAGAGACAGAGTGGGGAACAGAACAGGCAGATTGACGGAAGTACACTGCTGAGGGGAGCAGCGGGGAGACAGGAGAGGTCTGCTGTGCCAGTGGGTTGCATCTTAACCCCTTGCACCATCAGGGAGGCTCCCCATTTTATTTTTAGATAAAAGTAACTAAATGCTTTTGAAACTTCTCTCCTGTATTACTGCAACAAACATGCAGTGTGAACACCTCAGAGAGGGCTGTGGCTGGGAGGCCTGCATGTCTGCAGAACAGGGCAGCACCCCGCTCTGACAAGGGAGAGCAGACACTGTGGCCCTAAGTCAGCGGGTGGCGGAGGAGCTGTCTGGACCCAGCTGCTGCGGGCTGTGAGCTGTCAGCTTCTCTGTGTTGTATCAGGAGAATAATCCACTGAGGGGAGATATTATTTATTTTTTGCTTTTCTAACCCTTTAAGATTAGAAATAATGCATTTGGGCCTCCCCTGATGGCGCAGGCGGTTGAGCACAGCACTGTGAAGCTGTCCGCAGCCTCTGCAGCACAGGTTCAATCCCAGCCGGCCTGCAAGGGTCCCACATGGCGCAGCAGACCTCTCCTGTCTCTCCCGCTGCTCCCCTCAGCAGTGTATTTCGTCTGTCTGCCTGTTCTGTTCCCCGCTTTGTCTCTGGTGAATCCTCTCACCCTCCCACGCATCTAACCTGTACCCCGGTTCTTGTATAAACAAATAAATAAATCTTTAAAAAAAAAAAAAAAGAAAGAAAGAAATAATGCATTTGACACCCCTCCCCAAAAAAACTTTATAAGTTCTTTTTGAAAGGCCTGTTGCCTGAGTATTAGGCCTCCAGTGAGGCCTGTAAAGAGAAAGCATGAGACTCCGTTGGAAGCTTGATTCTTCCCTACGTCAGCCCAGTCACCCTGCCAGCGAGTATTGTGTGTGACTGTCAGGGTGATACTCACTGAAGAGTTAGGGAACCCCACAGAGTACCTGCCCCAGTGTATGTCACACTCCTGAGCCAGTAGGGTATTCTGACCTATTTCAGAGCCATTTATTAAGCTGTTCTGTAAGTCTGGGCTATAAATCACCACAGAAAGCAGGTGAAAAACTACTTTTGTTGTTCTGTTTTCCAGAGGAGGTACAGGGTATAGTGGAAAGAGCAAACTTTGGTGTTAGCTGGTTTTGCAAACTGATAGCCCGGGGCTTTCTCTTCGTTTGGTAATTCTCAAGTCCTCAGCTTCATCTGAAAGGTTACTGTAAGGACTAGAGATAATCCACGTTAGATGCTAAGCATGCGGACAGCCGTGAGGAATGGTTGCTGCTGCTGTCACTGTCACGCACAGAGGGCAGTGAACACCTTTTCTCCAGATTTCACTCGCTCGCTGCTCCCAACCAAACACCTTCCAGCTACTCCTCCTTTGTACGTCATGCCCCTGCTTGTGAAAATGTGTATTTTCAACTGTTTTTTGCTTTCTTGTTTCAGATCTGTAAGAGCAAAGCTAAAGAATCGCAGCAGTATTACCACAGCTTGGCTGTCCGGCAGAGTCTGGCTGTCCATTTCAACATCCAGCAGGACTGTGGTCATTTCCTTGCTGAAGTACCTAACCGCCTGCTCCCCTGGGAGGATCCTGATGCCCCTGAAGAGGAAGAGGATGAAATGGAAGCAGCTGAAAAAGAGGGGAAAGGAGAAACTGATGGGAAAAGCCCGGAGCCCCGCTCTGAAACAGAGCCATCGCGGAAAGCCAGCCAGGGCGTCCTGAGCAGGAAGCAGAGAAGCCACGTCGTGGTCATCACCAGAGAGGTGCCCTGCCTCACCGTGGCTGACTTTGTGCGAGACTCGCTAGCCCAGCATGGGAAAAGCCCAGATTTGTACGAGAGGCAAGTATGTCTGCTGCTCCTCCAGCTGTGCTCTGGCCTCGAGCACCTCAAACCCTACCACGTCACTCACTGTGACCTGCGCCTGGAGAACCTGCTGCTGGTCCACTACCAGCCTGGGGGCACTGCCCAGGGCCTTGGGCCTACCGAGCCCAGTCCCGCCTCATCTTGCCCCACAAGGCTCATCGTAAGCAACTTCTCTCAGGCCAAGCAGAAGAGCCATCTGGTAGACCCCGAGATCCTCCGGGACCAGTCCCGCCTCGCCCCAGAGATCATAACCGCCACCCAGTATAAAAAGTGCGACGAGTTCCAGACCGGCATCCTCATCTACGAGATGCTACACCTGCCCAACCCCTTCGACGAGAACCCAGAGCTGAAGGAGAAGGAGTACACGCGGGCAGACCTGCCGCGCATCCCCTCCCGCTCGCCCTACTCCCGGGGCCTGCAGCAGCTGGCCAGCTGCCTCCTGAATCCCAACCCTTCCGAGCGGATCCTCATTTCAGATGCCAGAGGCATCCTCCAGTGTCTGCTCTGGGGCCCCCGGGAAGATCTCTTCCAGACGGTCACTGCCTCCCCCAGCCCGATCCAGAGGAGCACCCTGCTCCAGAACTGGCTGGACATCAAGCGAACCCTGCTAATGATCAAATTTGCGGAGAAGTCCCTGGACAGGGAGGCAGGGGTTGGCCTTGAGGACTGGCTTTGTGCTCAGTATTTGGCTTTTGCCACCCCGGACTCCCTCAGCTGCATCGTGAAAATCCTGCAACACCGTTAACGTGCCCGGTGCTGCTCTCACTTCACTGACCATCTTCAAGCCACCCACGCACTTCCCCTCCCTATGCGCGGAGTTCAAGGAGAGAAGAGACACGAACCTCCACCACTGACCATGAACAAACCCATCTCCTCAGAAAGGTTCGCCACAGCTCTCGTTTGAGACGCTGAGTCTGTCTGAACTTTACAGAAATTCAACCGCACCAACGTGCAGTTACCTTCCCTTGGAACCCCCTGCACCCTAACTATCCCACAGAGGCAGGTCAACAAGGAAAAGGCACATCTTTGAAAGGACTGCTCCTTTGACGTGAACTCAGCTTGTCCAGTTCCTCCATATCCGAATATCTCCTGTCATTTTAATACCAAGTATTTATTCCAGCTAGCAATAGACAGATTTAACCAATTCTTACCGTTGTATCCTGTAAGTTCTCACAGCAGACTGTCTTCCTCTCAAGTATCATAACTGACTCTTCCAGGCAGAACTGCCCCCCTTAGCCTCAGCCCCATCTTGATTCTGTGTTCCAGCAGACCGCACAAAGATCAGGAGAGACCCCAGCTTCTGGGGCACGGACCAGTCCTCGCGTTCCCTTTTCTGTCGTCGATAACCGTGTGCACTGCATGGAGGATGGCCCTGACAGCAGCCCTCTGCTGCCACTGCCTGGGTCTCCCTCACCTCTGCTCTTTCCCCACTTGCCGGTGGCGTTTGGGTTTAGCAGCACTGTGGCCCATGACAGAGGTGACCCAAGGTCATGTCACCAGCACTCAGCAGGGTGGAGGCGTTCAGATCTTACAGGTGGCTGAGAGGAGACAAGGGGGTGATTTCCCCGCATGTGCAGTTTTCCAGGGGCCATTAGAGTTTAAATTCGTTCTTTGATTCCTGTCAGAGCTGTCAGCCTCGGCAGCCAGAGCTGGCGACACCCAGATCACTGATCCCCTGCCCGGGAGTGACTGGCCAGCTCCCTGCCTCAGTGGTCAGTGCTAACTAGTCTACCAGGCACTGTGGCAGCAGGCCCGGGTGACACAGCTGTCATCTGAGCGCTAAGATGCCCCGCAAAGGCTGGTGGGTGGCCCGAGAGAGGGCGCGAGGGAGGCTGCTGAGGAGACGTCACGCTCCTCCCCAGCTGCCCATCTTTCCTGCAGAGGCTGCTCCCGGGGGCTCCCAAGTGGCTCTGGAGGACACCTCCCAGGGCATAGGATGGCCGAGGGGGGCACTCAGAGCCGCTCACCGTGCATGGGGCCTGTGCTCCTCCCCCATGGATATATGTGCAATTTTTTTGTATGTATTTTTTTTTAGCTGTATATTACAGTGTTTATATTGCAACTTCACCGGAAGCAAGAGCTGCAGAAACCTGCCCCCTCCCTTGGCACATATCTGCGCTGAGACGAGTGTTCCTTCTACCAGAGTGTGTGTATGTGTGTGTGTGTGTGTGTGCACGCTTGTTTTATTCAAAACTGTGAGTATCTGTTTACTTCAGCCTTGAAATGCCAAGAGTCACTCAGACGGTGCGAGTGCGCGCACGTGTGCTGCGCGGAGGCCGGGCCGCGGGGCGCCGCCTGCGGCAGAGCTGTTGGGTGTGTTCTCGCCTCGTCGGGGAGGGAGCCCCGGGCCCCTCATCACCACCGCCGTTTCTTCAAGTCAAAACTGATTGTGCAGTATTAACTTAGCACATTAGTGGCCTTTTGGAAATTTCTAAACTTTTAACATTTTTAACAACTTTTCATGTGATTCACATATGTTGAAGAGGATTAAGAAAGGAGAAGAATGTATTTTATTGTGCTTTTATTCCTTTTTCTAAGAGAATGGGACATGTCAGACTCCGGATGGGGGCCCTCCTTGTCCTCCTGGCCAGCAGTCCAGGGAAGAGAGCTGGAGGCGCAGGGTCGGAGCTCCTCGAGCTGGAGAGCTGGGCTCTGCCCCCAGGGACGGCCACAGGGTGGGCATGGTGCTGCAGGCCGGCAGGCCCCCCTGTCGCTATCCCTCGGCATGGCCTCCCTTCGCCAGCTCACTTAGCATAGGCCCTGTGCACACCAGCCCCGCCTGCTGATACACTGAATGGCAGCCACAGGCCCAGACCGTGCCGGCCAGCCTCCCCCGCCCCCAGGGAATGCCTATTGAGACACTTTCTCCACGTCACTCCCGTGGTGCCTTGCCCATGTAAATTTGAATGTTGACTATTTAATGAGATTTCATATTTAATGAAGAATGTCCCCTGGTCCTGCTATTTGCTCTCTAGGTCTCCTTTAGTTTTCTCCCTGTTTTGACTTGGGTTCAGTCTTCTTTTCAAGTCTCTGGCGTTAGACGCCCGGACACCCTCCGCTACCGCCATCCCACTGTCTCAGAGCACTGGTGAGCCAGGCGCCTCCTCACGGCAGATGTGTCTAGACAGCCCTCACGTTCAGATTTGTTCAGGGCAAGGATGACTACAAGAAGGGTCTCAGGTTCCCAGAGACGGGGGTAGATTAATTGTTCTCTGAGTGATGGCCAAGGAATGCGAGGTAGGGAGGGAAGAGGGTGTAACAAGTTAAGGCAGAACAGATTATCTAGGCAAGAAGTATTACATCAGAAGGGCCTCAGAATATTTTTCCAAAATAATGAAATTAAGTCCATCTGATATTATCACAAATATTTTAAGTTTCCATTTACATTTTTGTAAGGCCTATGAGTCGTTCATCAACTGGAAAGAAGTCCTACCCTCAGACATAGATACACGTACATATTTTTCTCTCTTTATCTATCTAGCTGTCTATCTATCTATGTATATATGAGTTTTGATTGTGACTAGTATAGCACTTTAAGTTTTCTCAAATAACATCAAGTTATTGTCTTCAATATTGACTGAAAAAAAATTTCTTTTCTATTATACAGACTTCAATAGAACTATATGCAACTATATAGATTCTTCCATTTAATTTTGAGAGTTTGGACAGTTAAGCCGCTATTGGGACTTTTCCTTAAGCCACATGAGAAGAACAGTCTCTAACACATGTGAGTGCTAAGGAAACAGGGCAGTGGCGGGCGCAGACTGAATGTATAGCAGAGTGCCTTGTCAGAGGGGGTGCCTCGTGTCTGAGGGAGAGAACCAGATGTTTCACACAGAGGCCTGGGAGAAGTCTCCCGTGCTAGCCTAAGGACAGCCCCGTGGCTGTGTTAACACAAATGTGATGCGTGGAAGTGAATTCATGAAGAATAAACAGGATGGGAACAAGAGCAGTTGTAACCTGTGGAATCGACAGCAAAAGAATCGTGAAGTGGCCCACTAACCCCTGGACCAGATCAGAAATAGAGGCCAGCAGCATGGCCGTGGGGTTCGAGTTCTGCCCTCGGAAGATGAACTGGGGTGAGGTACAGAGAGGGGCACAAGCACCCACACGACCTCACCTCTGATACTGAGGGGCTTGAGAGAAAACACGTGCTGGGGATTGAAGAGTTTCTGTAACCTTACATGGGCAGACTAAGTGGGGGCCAGTTTTGCTTCGGAATTCAGAATAAGTTCGTGAACGTGGAAAATTCTAAGCCTTGAGCTAAACCTCTGGAAGTACCCATGCTCTTTCCGGGGGTAAAGCTACCTACAACTGTATTTCAAAGTTTGTAGCCTTGTAAAATTGTTCACGCACGATCTTCGCAGCCCGCTCCCTTGGGGCAGAGAAGGTTTGCCCTCATCTTCCCGAATCTGAATTAAGAATACTTTGGTGCTGAGAAGTAACCTAACTTGGTTTTGCTGGTAACCTCCAACTAGAATTTTCCCCGACATTTCACCATCGGGGATCTGAAAAAATACAAGCCGAGCACAGTCACCGGGCTCGATGGGGGGCACTGCACTGGATCCCAAATGGTTCTCAATGTGCAAAGCGTGAACATACTTGGAGAGAGGGAAAGAACTTGACTGGCTGGGCCAGCTCGAAGAGTGTTTTATTCCCCTCACTAGTTGGTAAGGATTGAAAATTCTGGTCCAGCTTAATGAGGGAGCGGGGGCGCTGCCCATGAAGCCAGGTTATTAGTTTTACCTCATTGGAGCCGAGATTCTCCAAGGCCCAAGGCCGTGCCCAGACAAAGCCAGGTACGCTCTTGCGGACGCGCGCTGACGTCCAGGTGTCTGTGCTCACGGCAGCACTGGATGGGGGATGCCACGGACCAAAAATGATGCCATGGGGGAGGCAGAGGAGCTGCCGTGCAAGGTCCTAGACAGAGATTATACCAAAGAAATCAAGCCTTTTGATCCTGACGCTTCGACAGTGAAGAGGTCGAGTTAGGACAGATGCATGGGAGGAGAATTCTCATACATTCCACGTCAAGCCGATCAGATAATCCATCCTCCAAAAAGCACCTTTTTTTTTTTTTTTTTTTTTTTTTTTCAAAGCAGTCCATTTTGTGCATTAGAGGGGAAAGAGACGAGGAAGGCCTGGGCAGATGGTGAAGATCCTCGGCCCGCCAGGAGAAGGCACCGTGCCCTCTCCCTTGACTGTGGCTGTTGCTGAGACCTCGGCCTGGGGACGTCGTGTCCATGGGATCCTGAGAGCTGCGGTTTTGTTCTCTTAAGAGCCATGGTAGTTTGAATGAGTTTGTTTAAGAACTCTTGGGAAATATCTTACCCAGTTGTAATACTTTTTATAAACCTTCCTGCCAAGGTGTTGACCACTCCTCCTCAGCATCGCAAGTGCCCAGAATGTACAAGGTGCTATCCCGCCGTTCAACACCCCCTCTCTGCCGCTGTCTGAAGTCAGAGTAGGTTTGCGCAGGAGCCACTGCCTTCCCCGCCCAGCTGGGTGCGGGGCCTGCATTCCAGACCTGCATTACCGTCTCCCCCCCTCGACCCATCCCACTCACCCCCCATGTTTTTTTTTAAATCAAGAACGTTTCAGGGAATCAAAAGAGGTCGGGAATTTTTTTAAACTAGCAGAAGTACAGAGTCCTATATTTTGCTACGAATATTACTGTATTAAGAAGACCCGCTTGCCCGGGAGCCGTGGAAGTGGGGCGCGCGTGCACTCGGTGACTTGAATGTCGAATCAGCCTCCGGCTTCAGGGTAGCATTTTTGAAAGTCAAGCCGCGCTCCTTCAGGAAACTCGCCCCAGATACCCCTCGGTGGCCCCTTCCCTTGCCAGTTTTAGGGTGTCACGTGTGAACCACACCGGGTTGGGGTGTCTGCCGACGATGTGGCAGGGCATTTGGCGCGAGGTCAGGGCCGCGAGGACGCCCTCCCCGCGCTGAACCGCGGCTGCCCGGGTCCCCGCCCGGCCCCGGGGTCCGGCCCGCCCTCTGTGTGTGGGGTTCGCGCGCTCAGGCGCCCTCCTGGAGCGTCCTCTGCACTCGCGGTCCGGAGCTGTGCAGACCCACCCATGAGAGGTCCCCGCTGTCACCAGATGGCACCGCCCTTTGGTTTGCTGTGGTACTTTGCTGTGTTCTCTGTGGCATCATGTTACTGTGTAAATAAATTCATTTTAATACACACTGAAGCCCCGGCGCGCGTCCTTTCGGCGTTGCTCCCTGCGGGCCGGGCCGGGCCGGGCCGCGGGACACCCGGCGGGGCTCCCGGCCGACGCCCCTTGCCGGCCCCTGAGGCCCGGGCCCGGGAGGGCTGCGCGGCGAAGGCGCCTGCGCCTCGGCTGTCGGAGCCCGGCTTGCAGGGCCCGCGCCCCGACGGCCGGCGCCCCCCAGCCTGCTCCCCGCCCCGCCGCGCTGGGAGTCCGGCCCGTGCGAGGCCCGGTCCCGGCAGCGGGTCGCCGCGAGGGGGCGGAACCGGGTCACCGGGAGCCCCGCGCTCGTGTCACCAGGCCGGGGGGAGGTCAGCGCAGAGCCAGGGCCCCTGAACGCAGGCCCGGCCTGCTGCCGGCGAGGAGCAGGGACCCCCTTCTGGCTGGGTTCCGCACACTGGCCTCTGGGGGAAGGAAGCAAAGAAGGAGTAGGAGTGGGCCGTCGGCTGCAGGGTCACAGGCCGCAGAGCTCCACCGGCACCACGGCCCCGGGCCCGGCGTGAGGCCCGTGTGGTCGCCCTCCCCGGGCAGCAGGCCCAGAGAGCCCAGAGTTTCTGTCCTCCCGGTGGGAGCACCTTGTGCTCAGCAGTAGATGGAGAGAAGATCACCCTATTTTCCTCCCTCTCCCTCTGGGGGTTGCTACTGGAATGCCCACGAGAGGCCAGACCGCCCTTCTGGATCCTGGTGACCCAGTAGCCATGAGCCGCTGACACTGGACGGGGCCTTAACCCAAGCCACAGGGGACTTTGATTTCTTCCTCCAGTCACCGGTCGCAGAGCTCTCAGCGCTGGGGCTGCGACTGCGTCCCTGCTCCGGGGCTCTGCCCTGCTCTCCAAGGCCCAGAAAATCTGCTGCCAAGTGAGCCAGTGCTGGCAGCAGGAACTCCATTCGCGCCTCAGGGGCCAAGAGCTGCAGCTGGCAGCTAGGAGCTCAGGTTGTGGAGAAGCGGCTCTGGGCATTCCCAGGTGAAACTTAAAAACTGGATTTCACGTGGCGGGTGGGTAGCACGGGGTGCCCAGATCCAACTCTCAAATTGGCAAACCTCTGAGTGGAAACTCGGCTTGGCACAGCCCCTGACTCCCTGAGATCCCAGATACACATGCGTGGAAAGGAGCATGGAACCAACCAGAAGGCAGACTTCCTGGTCACCTGTCTGAGCAAGGTGGAGGGCTGCTGGACTGCCAGGGAATCTGCAACGCGTGGGGGAGGCTAGGACCCGGGGGTGGGTGTAGTGGGGCATAATTCAGCTCTCCGCAGGTCGACCTGCACTTGAGCTGGACCCAGAGGGACAGAAGTCAAGGATGGTGAAACCCTCCGAACCTGCGGCTCACCTTCCACTCTCCCTGTCACCGCCAAGTGCCTTTGCTCCCCGCCCCACATGCCGCCAGAGACCCAGAGCACGGGTGAAGCCCCCGTAGCCTACACCCCCCCCCCAACCATAGCCTTCGCTGCCCGGCGCTGAGGGCAGAGCCAGACGTGGGCTCTGCCGGCTTCTCACTCAGCCCTGAGCACTGAACTGCTTTTCTCCTGAGCCTCCTGCCTGGGGACCGGCTCCCGAAGGTTGGGGAGCACTTTTCCCAGGCACCTCTGTGCTCCCAGCCTGGGCACTGCTCCAGAGGCCACTCCCCATCCCCACCTACTGCTAAGGGAGGGCTTAACAGCAACACGGGTGGTGCACACCCCCACACACACTCCCTCATCCCCCGCCCCTGTTCGATGGCTCCACCCTAGACGTTTTCAGATGAAGAAAGGGAGGCCGTTCTCCGCTCAACTAATCAGACTCAGGCCTTGAACCCGGACCCCTGGGTCTCCTACTGCAGTGCTCTTTCCCCCACCCCGTTTCTGCCACCAGGGGCAGGCAGGATGCTGGGAGACCAAGCTCCAGGCAGCCGGCCGGCTTCCTCACAGTGGTTGTGGAGCGGGAGGGGTGGGCCGGGCGTGCCCCTCTGCTCGTGTTCTTTAGTGAGCGCTGTGTGGAGGGGCCTCAGTCGTGGGCAAAGCCAGCGGGACGGGGAGTGGGGCAAAGATGTCTCCCTGATCTTTAGGGCCCCATTTAACCAAGAAATGTTGGGGTGACTCCGACTAGAAGAGGTTCTCTCCCTCATCCGAAATCACCAGCTTTCTCCTCAGATTGGGTTCTCTGTCTGGAGTGGCTCCTTCATTCCCGAGCACTGTGGTGGGGGCTGGGGGCGCCAGCTGCGCGGTCGCCTCTCCTCCCCTGCGCCCTCGGAGCCCCCTTCAGGCCAGAGGAGGCGAGAGCTGCTCCTGGCTGCTCTTGCATCCAGACCTGGGCCGGGCTTCCCGCATCGAATCCCCATGAACATACCCCCAGGATGAGGAAATCTAAGTCCAATGTGGGCAGTCAGCTGAGGGCCCAGCCCGGCCTGGCCGGCTCTGAGCAGCTCCCCCCAGCCCTTCAGCAGCTTCCTCTGTGGGCCTGTCTGTGCCAATGGGTAGGTCTTGGTCTGACGGGCATTCGCTCCAGTCTGGATGAACAAAAGCCAAGGAAGGTTTCCTGATGCATTCCTGATGCAAGCGGAGTGGGGCCGGGGATGGGGCCGGGGGCAAAAGCAGAGGCGACTTCAACAGGACGGGGCAGTGTTGGCTGCTTCTGGAGCCTCTGGCTCAGGAGACTGGGGAGCAGATTTGCCCCCTGGTCAACCCCAGCCTCCCTGCGCAGCAGGTGCCCGCCAGGTGACCTCCCAGCAAGGCTTCTGGAAGCAAACAAGCAACTGAGCCACTACCAGCCATCACAGAGACAACTGGCAACGTTGGCAACTTTCTTTTCCTTTTCTTCTTTTTTTTTTTTTTTTTAGATTTTTTAAAATTTTATTTTATACAAGAGCCGGGGTGCAGGCCAGATGTGCAGGAGGGTGAGAGGATCCACCAGAGACAGAGTGGGGAACAGAACAGGCAGACTGACTGAGATACACTGCTGAGGGGAGCAGCAGGGCAGTCAGGAGAGGTCTGCCGCGCCGTGTGGGTAGCTCCGAGGTCGGCAGGGATCAAACCGGCACTGCAGAGGCTGCGGGCAGCTTCACAGCACTGCGCTCAATCGCCTGCACCACCAGGGAGGCCCCTCCTTTTCTTCTTTTTCTTTCTTTTCGGGGCATTAGTAGCATACCTTTCATTCATCCGCCCACCTCATCCCTGCCCTGTCGTGGTAATCAAGGTTGTAAAGCCAACCCCTCACTCACGCACCTGCAAATAACACCCGAAGTGCCCCCCAGGGTGCGGGCAACACCCCGCGGTCTGCTTTTCTCATGAAGCTCATGCACGGGGAGAGCCAGCAGACGCAGCGCTTAAAAGGCCGCTTCTCTCGCTAAAAACAGCAGAACTCTATGTACACATCTATGTGAATTTCTTCTGCATATTTCTACCTCCCCCTGCCCCCCCACCAGCCGCAGCCCCCAGGGATAGTCAAACAATGAAACCTGAGATCGCACAAAACTGCTAAGAAGCGTCAGGGAGCTGGAAAGGCAGGTGAGTCCTTGGGTTGGGTGGACAAATCCTATTCAGTCTTGGATACTTTAATGAAATTGGGGTTAAAAAATCTCATTTTTTTTAAACCTTTACAAAACGGTCCTCAGAGTCCCTTGGAAGAATGAAGGGGTGAAAGAAAACCAGCAATTGTTGAGCAGTTATTTAAACATGAAAAAAGCAACGATCAATAACGACCATCAGTGACACGGTGTGATACACATACAGGAAAACACAGGTCCATGTAACAGAACAGGAAACCTGAAAACAAAACTTCACATCCACAGACTGGTAAAATAGGGTATGTGAGATGGCACTAAATGGACAGGGAAGTCTTATCCAATAAGATGCGCTGGTGCCATTGGTGACAATAATTACCCTGCACACTGGAAGCCAAAATATACTCAGGCAGATCAAGGAGTCACATGCCACAAAAGAAAGGAAAAAGGAAAGAAACCCTGAACTGCGAGAGAATGTCAAATCGATATCTGCTTTATCTCTTGATGATAAAGGACTTTCTAATTTAAGAAGCGCTGGAGGGCATCTGAAAAGAAAGATCCATGTGTTCGGCAACATGAGGATAGCCAACCCCCAGTCACTGAAAACTTCAGAAACAAAAAAAAGTAAATAACCGGCCAGGAAATTAATTTCAAAAAATAAAATGGGCAGAGGGCTAAAATCCTTTGTTAAAAATAGTCATACGAATCGGTGAGAACACAAAATGTTAATAGATTGATGAAACAGACACCTCAGGAAGGGATCCAAATGCTTGACCTTTCTAGAAATAAGAGACATGAAAAACTAAGATAGGCTACCTACACCGCATTGTGATCACTTTTGGGGATTATAAAAGATACATACTCACAGTCAAAAATCTGGAAACTGGGGCCTCCCTGGTAGCGCAGGGGGTTAAGCACCGCACTATGAAGCAATCCGCAGCCTCTGCAGCACGGGTTCGATCCCCGGCCAGCCAGGGAGCAACCCACATGGCACAGCAGACCTCTCCTGACTCGCCCGCTGCTCCCCTCAGCAGTGTTTAAGTCAGTCTTCCTGTTCTGTTCCCCACTCTGTCTCTGGTGAATCCTCTCACCCTCCCACACATCTGGCCTGCACCCCAGCTCTTGTATGCATAAATAAATCAATCTTAAAAAAAAATCTGGAAACTGAAATTGACCCACTGACCACCATCCGGAAGTTTCCACAGCTGTCTGTTGTCTGCTGTCTGCTGTGCGCTGTTGGTCCTGCCATCCTTCACTGTGTTCGTTAAGATCACGTTGCTGGCATCCCACCTCTCGCCTGCAGGATCGACAAAGGTCTTTGGGAAGCTTAGACTCGGAACTGGTGAAGGTGTTCAGACAAGGCAGGTGCAGTTTTGCACTGGATCAGAAGGGACTTAGCTCATCCCGTCCTTTTGCCGAGGCCACAGCTGAGCCGGGTGTCGGCAGATCGGACCCTCATGAGGATTTGTCCAAGTTCGGGGCCAGGGAGC